AAAAAAAATTAACTTACTGGAAATAAACATTTAATTATGGTTGTGAAAATGTAACTGTTACTTACAAGTAACAGTGAATACCACTTTAAATGGTTTCAGTAGCTTATTTAGATAGGAGTTTATTGATAAAGGTCAAAGTTGCTAGCACAGTTTCTTATAGTGCTGAATGATCCATGCCTAAGCTATCCTTAATTTTTAATAAGCATTCTTAAACTTTTTCATATAACTTTAAAGACCTAGTTGCAGTCTATATTTATGAACATATTTACTGATGTATGAAGTACAATTTTATATATTTCATATATAAGCAATAACATTTTTGAATACCTTGCTTAAAACAGATACTTCTTTTTCCTCTGCCAGAAAATCAGCCAGAGAAGCAGATCTTTGGAAACTCTGTCGCATTTTACTAAATCCGTAAAGGTTAAGCTGGCGAACTAAAGTCTTCATACTTCCAGTTTGAAATATTCTGAAAGGGGCCTTTCTCTCCAGAACTTCTTTCTTGAAGAGTTCCTCATCAATCACTATTGAAGTCCCATTCTCATCCCACCAAATTGATTTGAATTGATCACTTTCAACCATGTTCCAAAGTTTTCTGGGAAAAGTCAGAGACAGAAAGTCACTATCTTCGTCTGGTTCAGAGACACAAAATGTGTATCGTGGCCTTTTTATTAAGGATCCTCCTGACAAAGCCTGGAAAGCATTTTCTTCAATCATAGACCTTAGGTCCAAATCCCCAGTCAATGTGGGATCCCACAAAGGAGATCTAACAGAGGCTGCAGAATTAGTCGATCCATCTTTAGGAGAACCATCTTGAATTTCTGAAGAAACATGTGCCATCTCAAATAAGGTTTCTTTCAGCTAGGTTTGTCATCTGCATGGTTTTGAACACTGCAGCTTCAACTGCTGCTTTGGCTTGCCTACACAGGTAATGTATCCAGACCATCACAATGGTTCTCCACCTCAGTAGTTGTGACATCACAAGATGCCTGGTCTCCTAGCAATTAAAGTGTAACATTCAGACAGAGTGTTTCCTTCTTACTATGTGAAATATATTCAGTTAAAATAAAACAGGCCAAATAACGTTAACTGAGATATTGACAAAAATACGAGATCTGCAAAACCTCATTCTTACAGAATCTTTTAAATAAATACATACATAATTATATTTAGACCCTGAACTAAAAATGATTTCCTTCCTTGTAAATATATTCTTTCTAGATTGCTGCCAGTAGCACAAAATCTGGTAAAAGAAAAGTGTAAAATGTGAATAAAACAAAGGATTTTAAAAACTCTGTCCGTTTGGAACTTAAATCTGTGAAACCTGTATTTTTTTTTTTTTTTTTTTTTAAATAGCATAACCTTTAAGACCACAGGTTAGTGGTTGCCATGGGCCAGGTGAAAGGGGAATGGAAAATACTATATGAAGGGTTTCTTTTTAAGCTGATGAAAATGTTTAATAACTAGACAGGTGATATTGTACAACATTACAAAGATACAAATAGTCCTGAATTGTATCTTTCTAAGTGGTTATTTTTACATAATGTGTGTTTTGCCTCAATTTTTAACAGTGCAATGAATTTATCACTAATTAAAATAAAACAGAATTCGGTTTCTGAATATAAAGTTAACTTATCTGTGCATCTTATGTGAGTAGTCTGGGTTAAACAATATCAAATACATTTCCATAGTAATATTAGTAGAATACATATGATTTTATTTAGAATGTCTGTACCTGTGAGATAGTCATGAAGTAAAAGGCTTTAACAGAGAGCAGTAGATCTAGCATCAACGAGATCCTAAAAAGTGGGAGAGGAAAAGTAACAAGACACTGTTATAAGTAAAATAAATTTGTATGTGTGTCTCAGGGCAATATTGCTCTTATTGCAATATCAAAAATATTTATAATAAAGAGGTTATGTGGAAAAATGTTTGTTTTTGTAAAATATAATTCATGGTCAAACTGGCTTACATACAACTCCCAGTGCTCGCACCCATCCCAACAAGTGCCCTGCTCGATGCCCATCGTCCATTTTCCCCTCTCCCCCATCGCCCCCCATCAACCCTCAGTTTGTTCTCTGTATTTAAGAGTTTC